GGAAGGCAAAATTGTTCATTTTTATATTTCCCCGGTCAAATTTTTAAAAGGTTTTTTAAAAAAATTCGGAACTTGTTTAGGCAAATTTTTAAAACCCTTCATTGGGAAAGTTTTAGAAAAAAAATCGGCAATTAAAAAATTTTAATTTTCCTTTTGGGGGAAATATTTTTTTTTTTTACCCAAGTTATACCCCGAAATAAAAATTTTTAAAGCCCAAAGGGTTTTTAAATTTTTTTTTTAAAAAGGTGCTTCCCTTTTGAAAAATAAAATTTTTAAAAGGGTTTTTTTTTGGGTTTTTGTTTTTAAATTATAGGTAAACTTCCTTTTGGGCCCTCAAAAAGGTTTTTTAAATAAACACTAATTTTGTTTTTAAACCGCCCCTAATTTGGGAATAAACTTGAAATTTTCCTTTTTTTTTTCCCTTTTTTTTGGTTTTTCTTTACTTTTCTTTTTAAAATTTACTTTTTTTTAATTTTTTGGATTAATTGGAGTATAAAGGTTTTTCATACCAGATTTTGTCAACCCTTTTTTTTTGAATTAAACAATTTGGCTTTTTTCCGAGCCACCTAAATTTTGGGGGAGTTTTTGTGGGGATTAAAAAAAATTAATTAAAAAAGGCCCCTTTTTATTTTGGGTTTTTTTTGGGGGAATGCCCTTTTTTAAAAATTTTTGGGAAAATAAACCGAAAGTTAAAACAATTTTTCGTTTAATTGTTTTTTTTAAGAAACTTTTTTTTTTGGAAAATTTTTTTTTGTTCCCATTAAAAACCCCAAAACAACCCCTGTTTTTCGCGGGGGGTTTTAAAGGGGTTGAAAATTTAAGGTTTTTTTTAAAAAAATTTTTTAGAATTAAATTTTGTGTTTCCAAAGAAATTTGGCCCTTTTATAAAAACCAGCAGCACCAAGTAAAGATCTGACATCTTTAACACATTTTGGTACCGGAAGTGACCTAATAGCTTTTACCTTTTTCTGGGTCTGGTTTTATTACCTTCATGATCAATTATAAAAACCAAGGTACTTTGTTTGTTGATGAATAAAACTGGCACTTTTTCAGTTTAAGTTTTTAATTTATGCTCTTTAAGCTTTGAAAAATACTGTCTGTATATGTTTAAATGTTCATTTAAATGACTTCGAAAATATTAGAATGTCGTCAAGATAACTGACAGCAATGCCTCTAAACCTTGTAAGACATGTGACATGAGTTCTTGGAAAACTCCAGGGGCAGAAACTAGGCCAAAAGGTGTTACGGTTGAACTCGAACAAGCCTCGGAATGTCGTAAAAGCCGTTTTTTCAACTTGTCTGATTCATGCAGGGTATTTGCCAAAACCCTGAGCGCATGTCTAGTGTTTTGTAAAATATTTTGAAGACCCCTAGTAGAGTTTAAAATATCGTCAATTAATGGGAGAGGATATGATGTTGGGCTTTGTAATTTTATTTCAATTGTCTAAAATCAACACAAAACCGTTTCCTGCCGTCACGTTTTCCGACAATAACAACAGGAAATGAATAAGGGCTATGACTTCTTCTTTATAATATTAGCATCTAACATCTCATCGATTGCGTCACTCATAAATTTTCTATTGTTTAAAGGTGTTCGATATGGCTTAATTTGATTGGAGGATGATTACCTGTTGGTATTTTCATGGTTACAGCATCTGTCTGTGATAATTCAGAATCTTTATTTGCGAAAAATATTTTTGATTTTTCCTTAATAAGTCTCTAACAATATTAAAATGCTCTGAAGGTGTATGAATATCACGTTCGAAATCGTTGTTAAGAGGGGAAGTTGTTTGAAGAGCCTCTGTGACCGAGTTAATGCTCTCAACTTCTGAAACTTTAGCAACTACTGAATCTCGTTTCAATCTTATAGTTTTATGTGTATTATTGACAATCATAATAGGAAATCTTCTATCAGCCGAAAGTTTCATAACAGAATTTGTTATCATAAGACCTGGTTCAGAAGCAATCATTCCAGTTTCTATACTTTTTAATTCATATAATTTATCATTTTCCAAGCCTGGATTTTTTTTTAACTTAGCAGTGCACACATTAACTGTTGGTTTCAGAATAACATCCTGTTTTAATCTAACAATTGATGCAATATGAATATCTTCTTCGAGGGGTACATATGTATTATTAACTCTTAAGCAGCCTAAATCAAAATATAATCTAACGCCATTTTGTGTTAACCAATCACGGCCTAAAATAATATTTCTATTCATTTTAGAAACAACATAGAATTTTTGAGTTGTTTCTGTTTTCCCTATTTGAAAATTTAGATTTATATAACCATCTATATGTAAATAATTTCCGTCAACTGAACATAAAATATGAAAAACAAGATCAACAAGGAAAGGTTTTATCCTCCACGAGTGGCACTAAGTCCTATGTGCCCGTATTTTAAGAAAAATTCTACATGTATAAGGTAATTCCTAAATCGGAAGTGTTCTTCCACAACACGTGCTTGGTTCCCTGTTCCGCTCTATGTCAATGTATGTGAAACGGAAGCCGGAGAATACTTCCGGTAGGAATTACTTTCTAAAAATATCGTCTACATGTAGAATATTTCTTTAAATACAGGCTCATAGGACTGAGTTCGACTCGTGGAGCATAACACCATTAAATGTATGTAAAATCCAGTTGTTTGCATGTGTGTTCGACCCGTTTTATCTCTTTGTTGATGTATTTCAAGCGTAAATACCAGGTTACAATGTACATGTCATGACGGTCTCATCTTTCGGACCTGGGTGATTTCTTACTTTCGGGCTTTATAACATTAACTAGCGGTTAATTGGGGATCTGTAAATAGTAAATTGTAATAGAAAAATATATTGTGCATTGATTCCATGCAAAAATCCGACGATATTACCGCCCGGTGAAAAATTTTTACACAGATAACTGGCGTACCCATAATTTTCGTACCTGAATGTTGCATAGAGTGATTGGACACGTCCTCGATCAGCCAGGTCCTCGATCAAAATTATGTTTTTTTTTTGTATCTTTTTCAAATAAACTTGATAAAACACGAACTTTCTTTGCTTTGTTTTTCCAACACATGTAAGTACTTTACTAAACTCCCACTGAAGAGTATTTATGTGAGGTCAAAGTTCACGCAGCAAACGATTCTAAAAACAATGGTAAAGTGAAAGTAGAAATTACGGATTATTACCCAATAAAAAATTAAGTGCATCTTTTCTCCTTAGCTCTAATATTTATACAAAATATACAAAAATGACAAAAAATAACTACTTTTGATAATTATACAAATTTTTTTCCTACATAATAAAATTAAGTAAGCTTTTAGCTCTTTTCCCAGGAAGGGGGTGGGTCGATTTCCTACAGTAATCTAGGTCAGGGATCAGCCACTAAGAAAAGATGCTAAATATATGCATATTTTGCCCAAAATACATATTTTCCGCTTTCTTAAGAATAATTAGATATTTTTACATAATATCAAAAGTAAAAAAGTAGTAAATTAAAGGATAGAAAAACACATAGGTTACAAACCACTATATTTTACTGTGTTTTTCCCCTTGGTTTAACACCACTATATTTTTCCCCTTTGGTGACACTCAATTATATATTTTCAGCAATGCCTAGGTCTCAGAGGACCCATCCAGATCAAATATATATTATAGTGAGGCAAAACATATTGTGACCCAGGGCTATTCCGTACGTAAAGCAGCTATTGAATTAGGCCTTCCTTTCACCGTACAGAACCATATCAATGGGAAATACAAGGGTTATATTACAAAATTAGGGGAAGAGTGTATGTTAAAGCCTTCGGATGAACAAATTCTGATAAATTATGCAACATTCATGGCATCAAGAGGCTGTCCTCATTCTAGATTAATTTTAAAAAATGTTGCAAGAGAGATTATTATCAGTCATGGAGGAGCTAAACGCATGGATCCCAGTAAAATATCTCAAATAAATCTTTTCTATTTTATTCACATTTCTTTTATATATAAACTCCAAATTTTGTCATACAAGTATTAGTTTAAACATTTTTTACATTATTATGTCAAAATTAGCTGATCGACGACGTGTCTATTATCCTAAGAAAATTTAAAATTTGGTGGTCTATGACCTATGTTGTTATTTTTATGTTTAATGGTTGCTCCCTAGCTTAAAATATGACGTTTACAAGAAGAGTGTCTGGTGATATTTTTCAATGGAAAATATTACTCATAGGAGGCAAGTTTAATTTGTTGGGTGTAATTTTACAATATAATTGATCGAGGACATGTCCACTGAGTCTACCTTGTCAATAATAATATAACAGTGAAAAAAAAAAATTTAAATTTTTTTTTTAATATATTGATATTTTATTGAATAAATAACAAGGTCAAACACATTTTAGGTCAAATCAATGCAACTAGCACCTGTGGATTAGATTGGTCAGTTAATTCTGTTTGTGCAAAAATTACTAAAACTGTTGGTGTTCTTTTTCACGGATTTGTATTCAAATCACTTTGGGGTAGTTTTAGGTTGTATCGTTTGTTTCCTTGTTAAGGATTAAAATAATTTAAATTTGTCTTTCAACTGGTCCACCAGGGCAGGAGTATTACTGTCCACACACACTTTCTAACAACAAATTGAAGTAAAATCTTATTTACATTTAGTGATGTAGGAAATGGCGCATGATGTCCAATGATCAGCTATGGGATTGACTTTGTTTATAGATCTACCTGTCTGATAATGCAGGTATATAAATTAACAATTTTTATCTAGGGGCCTAGACTATTTTACATTAGTTATTTAGGCATTTCTTCTAGAAAGCATGGGCCCTACCCAAAAGTTAAGACCATTGCGACTGGATCCCTGTTATTTTATATCCCTGTAATGGAAGCACGATGGGCATGGCAGGTATTAATAATTGTCATTTAACAGTAACTGTATAAACCTTTTGATTGAAATTTCCTATAAACCCCCACACCCCTAAATTTCATTATTTTCAATATTTTATAAACTTTAGAATGAAAAGACAAATAAACATATATAGTTCTATATTATTATCACACATTTATAATAAATGTTCCTTTGTCAGGGTGCAACTATTCAGCTTTCTCTGGATTTGATTCTTAATTCCATTAATTTCGATTTAAATAGAATTTTCAACATGTGATCTTCTTGTCAAACGAATATAGAATGAACCAAAAAGGCAGAAGCGCAAGAGACAAAAAAAATTACCGCCAAAAATATAGGCGACCAATAGAAAGTTGTTTACTGCCTACGTAATGCATAAATTAAAATTCACCAATGAAAAAGAGTTTTTAAAAAGGTCAAATTCATTCAACCTTATAATTAAGTAATTTTAGTTCAAAATAAACAAAATTATAAGTTATCATTTAAAAGAAAACACAAGAGAAATTTTGATCTTGATATCATATTATTAGGTAATTCGAGATCACATGTTTCACATTCATATTAAATGATTATATTATTCAATACAAATAGAAATTGTTTCATCATGAAACTCAATCAAAATGTCTTTGTCTATCCACATGACAATCCATTAATCATTACAGAAGTAATATTCATAATCCAGCCACACCCATGGCCATGAAAAATACAAACAAAAAACATTACAAAATACAAAACATCAGCAAATATAAGTTCAGATACATACAAATCTACTAAGAGGCTTTCATACCACCTCCTTAGTAGCATAATCTCCAAGACTGGTCATTACCAACTTACGAGACTGAGCCTTTCTTGAGAAACAGTGTGTCTCAAGCAAAGGCATAACGTACATATATCAACTAATGCATATATTTGAATATAAACATTAAATTCAATATCCAGAAACACTCTAGAACAAGTGTATACACAATAACAAAACCACTAAGAGGCATCCTTTTAACCTCCTTAGTAGAAAGTAATCTTCAATACTAGCCATTGCCAGTTTGTAAGATTTAATCTTTCTTGAGTAACCAAGTGCCTCAAGCAAAGACATAATGACATTAGAACATGACACTATTTTACGAATGTATATTCTAAAGATTATAATAATTACGAATTACATATTTTACTTAAAAAGCTGTCTAGAAATACAAACATTGAAACTTGCAGTAAACATGTAGCGCTCATCCAACACTAAGTTGTAATTACTTTAAGTGAGCAATGGTATTAATGAAAAATTCTTTCAAACGCCTTGTACCTTCTAGGTTAAGATGTAAACCACCGTCTTTTATAGCATAATACTCACGACGGGGCAAGCCACATTTAAGAAAGGGTTTGAAAGTTCTAATGAAAATAACATTTCTAGATTTGCATAGTAAAACCAATTTATTGTTTAAATTTTTAACCCTATTACCAGTAGTATCAAAATCTATAGGGCGTGGAATAATTGCAGATACAATAATGCTTCCAGAAGATTGTTGACGAACATTGGAAATCAAATCGTTAAAAGATGAGATAATCTCATCTTCTGAACGAGGGCCAGTTACATCATTGGTACCAACATGTAATATGACATAAGCAGATCTAAGATCAACTTGACCTTGTGAAATACGAAAACTTAACCTTGAAATATTAATTCCAGGAAAGGCTGTTATTTGAGTATCCCAAATACCTGACACATTTTTGGCAATGGAGTCTGAGACAATTGTACACTTTCGAAGTGGTGGATGAGCTACATGTTCTGAAAACATACAAGAACATTTTATTAAAGACTATATTTAAATCAAACATAAAAAACATGAGAAATATCCTTCATAATTTTACACTTATCTTCAGTGGATAGTGAAATATAACGTTTATAAACGTCAGAATGCCAATCTCCAAGAATTTGAATTTCATCTGAACTAATATTATTCTTAAAGGCAAGGGTAGCAAAACCACGCCTAAATGAATGAGAGGAATATAATGATGAGTCAAACCCAAGATCATTTAAAACCTGACGCAATTTATTTTGAAATAAATAATAAGTTACCGGTTTACCATTAGGTAAAAGAAATAAAGCATCTGCAGATTTCCCAGGAATGACCTTTAACATGTTATCATATGCAGTAACCGGACACAAACAAGAGCCTGGTAACTTTAATAGAGGAGTCTGTAAAAGACGTTCTCCAAACTGAATTGTTTTGGTCCAATTCATAGTAACTATTAAGTCACCATGAACACGAGTAACATCAGACCTAATCAAACATTTATGATTAATTAAATCTTTAAGTGTAGTTGGAACTAAATTTGACTTTCGTGCCAACAGAAAAAATGCAAATAAAAATAAACACCAAAAAACTAAGTTTTCTGGATCTTTAAAATTCAACGTCAAGTAAATCTTAGAAAGAATAAAAGGAGTTATAGGTTGAGCTTGTTTTACACAATGACATTTCAATCGGGAAATTCCACGAAGAGTGAAATTTATCAAAAACGTATTCATTTCATTCAAATTATAACCCAATAACTGATGAACAGTTCTTACACCACTTAAATAATTTCGAATACTAGCCACAGATTTAAAAGATCTACTAAGAAATTGGGAATATAACTGAATTGTTTCAGTTGAAGCAGGTAAATAACAGAAATTGAAATACAAACAAAATAATATAAATGATTCCCATTGAATTTTTAAATTTTTTCTACTATTTTCTGCATATGCTGAAATATTAGACAGTTTTAAATCTGTCTTGAGAGTCTTCAATTGCAGATCTGCAAAATAAACCAGAAGACAAAAAGAATTACCAGTCATTAACAAAAGCAAAATCTTGCTGTAACACCTCATAATGATCTAAATGAAAACCAGATGTTAACCGAAAAAATTCATCTTGAAATTTTTTGTGTTGATACCAACGAGATAAGCAATCAGATATACGATTGTCCGTACTAGATAAATGTACAGCTCTTATCTCACATTCAGCTTTGGCCGTCAAAAAACAAAATTCTCTTAAACCATCTTGCAAAATAGGGCATCTAGCTTTGCCAGAATTTAAAACTGAACAAACAACCTCATTATCACAATTAACAATTATTTTCTTACCCTTGAATTCAGGAGACCACAGTCTTAGGGCCAGAATAATACCAAGTAACTCGAGAACAGCTATTGAGTAATTTTGACCTAGTATGTTATCAGGGAAATTTGAGTGAAAATACTTCCCTTTGAAAAAACCACCACAGCCTGTAAGACAGGAATCCGTCGAAAAAATTGCATCAGGTCTTGACCAATTTTCATATATCAAAATAGACACTCCATTATATTCTTGTAAAAATTTATGCCACCATAAAATATCTTTTTTAACTTCTGATGGAATTAAAACATAAACATGAGGAAGATAATTATACAATTCTTTAAGCCAATTTATGAGTCTACTTATAAAAATTCTGCTTGACCGCACACAAGAAGCCACAAAATTTAATTTACCAATAAGAGACTGTATTTCTCTTAGCGTTGCCTCTGTTTTAATTAACCATACTTTAATTAAATTTTTGATTTCAATTAAACGCTCCGGTGTTACTTCCATTGTCATAGAATTTGTATTAAATAGAACACCCAAGAAGGTCATTACTTCTGAAGGTGTACAAGCTTTATTCACAGATTCAATAAAACCACATTTACTAAGAATTTGTCCTAAACAATCATATGCAAAAGGAGCATTAATCTTCGTTTCAGCCCCTGCTAAATCATCAAGATAATTGAGAATACAAAAACCTATCTTATACATAATAAAGGCTATTGCATTCGTAACCCTTTGACATATCTGAGCAGCTGATCTAAGCCCAATGCTTAGAACAGTGTCACAAAAAATATGTTTTTTCCAACAAAAAGCCACCAGATTATAGTTGCTAGGACAAATACTGATTTGTCTATAAGCTTTTCTCAAATCCTTTTTAAACAAAAGACAACCTTGACCTTTTGATTTTATTAAATGAACAAAATCATCAATTCGAGGAAAAACTAAATCAACACGTTCACCCAAATAACAATCTTTATTATTAAAATCATTCACAGCCTGACCTTTGGGCATACTTAAATCTAAAATAATCCTTCTTTCTTCAGTATCCTTTTTTGGAACTGAATTCAATGGAGAAATTTTTAACTCAGAAGTAAAGGGATTTTTCTTAAAAGGGCCTATAATACATGAATCAGCACTTTCTTTACCTAAATAATTATTAATATCATTTGGATAATCATTAGCGCCAGAATGATTCTTGTACTTCCAAGAATCCAAATGATCAAAATGGAAACCTTTATCAATAAAACCAATCGGAAAACCATATTTCAAAAGATCACAAACTAACAAATCCCTATAATCCGTACCTAACATACGTCTCATAAATTCAGTATTGATTTTATCATTAACCTGAATTTTGCAACCTTCATAATTATAAAGACCAGATTGGCGTACCTTCTCATGAATAAAAACTTTATCATAAATAAACATCAAATCTTTTTTAGTGACATTACAAATGTTACATTTAACTGAATGTTTACAAATAGTATTTTCAATAACTGCTGAATCAACAATATTATTACCCTGTGTTTTACAAAATTTTGGAAAAAATAGATCTACAACATTTTCATTAATTGTCACATTTTTTTTAAGATGATCATATCTATCCACAAGTCAATTTGTGGAATACGGGCATGAACTTGAACATTCTGGATGTTCCAACTTGACCTTATCTTTTATCCAACAAGATGCACAGATATGTTGAGATAATCTTGCAATGCCCTTAACAACAGTAATATGAGGCGCTTTTTGCTGACATTTATTTCTTTGAAATTGACTACAGAACCAAACTCTTTCTGTAGTAACACTAGTATCTGATCTACTTTTTTCAGTCTTATGACGAACATTCATTGATTTTTTGTTAACATTACTCACATGACTAGATAAAATTGCCGATTCAACATATTGATACGAATCTCCCCATTTAAGATGGCCTAGTTCAATCTCTCTTAAAACAGCTGCATACAAATTCTTAACAACTACAAAGTCATAGGAAGAACAAAGATACATAAGTTTCTTTAATAACTCAAGTCTAGCCTTACGTTCAGAAGCTTGCATAGACGGGGATGAAATAATTTCTAATTCCCCTGCAACAAACAAATTCCATTCTAATTTGTCAAATGTAATTGAGCTAGTGACATATTCAAATCTTAGACTGGATTGAGGATATTGTTGTCTACTGACTACTTTATCCCCAGCCTTAGCCAAAATACCAGACCTAATTTTATTCTTCGAATAATGAAAAGTATCAACATCAGAATCTTCTGATGAACTTAAACAATTAGACACCTTTTTCTTCATATTCTTTGATATCTTATTCAAACTTTCATCACTGCAAGTGTCTGAATCTGAATGAGAAAAAATATCCAAACCAATTTTACTAATTTTCGACTTTGCTTTCCTTCGTAGATCTGTGTTTTTTCTCAAGTCATTAAGCGTAACATGCTCAATATCTACATTTTTACTCGAATCATCAATAACTGGTTTTTTACTAGAATACAAATTGATACCTCGTACGATCTCACCTCTTAATTTTTTAACGTCCTGTTTCTTCTGTTCAATTTGTTTTCTCAATACGTCTGCTTCGGATAACTGTTCCTTAAGAACCCGTTCTTCTTGTTGTAAGGCGCTCAGCTCCTTCTTCATCTGAATGATACCAGAATCAGTCTGACGACTTTTTCTATTCAAGTCTGTATCCCCAGAAAATTCATCATCCTCGTGAAAACTGACATTTTTAGCGGAAGCGGAAGTTGGCAACAAGGTCGCTTGTGTAGTTTCCTCGGAAAACAATTTAATATCTTCCATGTGTTCCTCTGTCCAGAAGGATTCCTGGTCCTCATCTCCGAATCCGTCATTTAACAATTTATAGTCCACTCTTTTACCTCTAGAAGGTAATATTTTTTTCTTCTCCAGTTCCTTGGACGCCATGTTAGTCCCAAAATACAAACAGCTTACGCGGCACGAAGTACCGAAATAAAGTTCATTCGTATTCAACGAAATATTATTTACTGAATACGAAAACTCCTCTTGGTATGCACTATAAAATCCTGATGAATAATACACCAGTCCATAAATCAAATAAAATACCAACATATGTGGAACAATTCTGTAAAATAACTTTCAATAAATTTGTGGTATAGAATTTTCAACATGTGATCTTCTTGTCAAACGAATACAGAATGAACCAAAAAGGCAGAAGCGCAAGAGACAAAAAAGTTTACCGCCAAAAATATAGGCGACCAATAGAAAGTTGTTTACTGCCTACGTAATGCATAAATTAAAATCCACCAATGAAAAAGAGTTTTTAAAAAGGTCAAATTCATTCAACCTTATAATTAAGTTATTTTAGTTCAAAATAAACAAAATTTCGATTTGATTATTGAGGCTAAGTTAACATTAATTTTATGTAGGGAATACTTTAAAAATAATTTTTAACTACACTTAAACTTTATTTAGGACATCAAACAAAAACATACTGAATAAAACTTTTAAACAACATAGCTAGAAAACAGAAACCATATCATGTTACATTCAACGTGTTTTGATTGGATAAGCGAGAACACGTTGTCAAGTAAAGAAACGCTTATATTATATATAATATTTAAATATAAAACATTCAATTAATATCAGAAAGTCAAAGTGTTTTTCCCCTACTTTGGGAATGGTGCTGGTACAGTTAACGGTACCGGACAGATTGGGAAAAAATCTATCGGTTTGACTTAAATTGGGAATTTTATTTTAGATGCAAAATATTTATTGGGAATTTCTTTTATCCAGGGAGTTGATGAAAATTTTGCATAATTATACACTTTAAAATCATGTATTATTAACTTTAAAGATTATTTTTGCTGCTTGAGGTTGAAAAAAAAATGATAATCATAACAATTGTACATAAATAATGTTTAGTAGGTGTGAACATTAAGTACGAAATGAACTGGGTACGAATATCACTCATGTGGTTTTACTTGGTTTTTATCGTATATCACTTATCAATACGGAAGGCTCCGAGGCATGCATTACTGTTTTTAGAGGAAATTTTCAGTGTTAAATTTGGAATTTATCAGTCATGAATTGGAAAATTTGCTGTCTATTTTCTATTGGGAACGGTGTCGTTTTTCCGGTATCAGTTATATAAGGAAAAACACTGGGTTGTTGTTAAGATTTTAGTCATTGACTAGATTTCTACCAGAATTTTTTGGGTATAGATGGATACCGAAAATAAGCTATTTTCGCGAAAATAAGATCGCGGCTACGAAAATAAGATTTATTTTTTAAATAGTGCATTTATCTGTTGAAATAATTATGTAAAATATATATTTATGGATTCATTGAATGATTTTACAGCAAATTAAAATTTCAGAACCAAAAAAATATTTAAAAAAGTGAAGTTTGAGCCGAAAATACTATCGTACGAAAATAGCTCAAAATTGCTGTTAAAGCGAAAATAAGATCGGGTCTACGAAAATAAGATTTATTTTTTGATATAATGTATAAAACGTATTTTTTGTTTCTTAACAATTGATTTGTATGAATAAAATAATAAATTTCAGAACTAAAAGTATATTTTAAAAAAGTGAAGTTTGAGCCGAAAATACTATCGTATGAAAATAGCTTAAATTGCGGTGTAAATCGAAAATACGATCGGGTCTGCGAAAATAATATTTATTTTTGATATAATGAATCAAAAACTATTTTTGCTGTTATTAAATGATTTGTTTGAATGAAATAATAAAGAATAAAAAATTTTGTTATGAAATATTAGATGTTTGTGCGGCAAATATGGTAAATATTCCAAATTTACTATAGTAAGAACGCATGAACATATTTAACCAAGATGGCATCTACGAAAATATATATTAGATTTACATGGTTCATAACTTATATTAAAATAGTGTTAACTTTACTTTTAATGATTTTGCAAATAAGTTTTAAGAATGAAATGTTCTCTTATAAGACAAAAAATGTTTGTGGTGAAAAAGTATCAAAATAAAAATAAAGAACTATTGCAAAAACAACCTGAAACAACGACTACGAAAATAAGATCTAGATCTATATAAGAATATGTACCGTACGAAAATAAAATCATAACAGTACTCTACGAAAATAAAATCTGTAAGGAAATAAAAGCTGTATGAAAGTAATGTTCATACGAAAAAAGGTATATACCAAAATAAGATCTTGCTGTAAATAGTTAATACCTGTATGAAATTATTTATTATTTATGAAAGAACTACATGTACGAAAATAAGATCTGTAAACAATTCAAAGTCAAAACCTGTATGCATTGATATTCGTACAAAAATAATTGAGAATATGATCTGTATGGAAATACTATATGTACGAAAATAAGATCCTATTGAAAATAAAACTATACGAAAATAAGATCTGTCTGTATTCGACTAAGATTTTTACAAATGAAAGATCTGTGAAAATGAAAGTTGCATGAAAATAATATCCTTACGAGAATAAGATACATATGAAAATAATATATGTAAAAAAATTCCTGTATGAAAATACTATATATACGAAAATAAGATCCTATAGAAAATGTGATCTATACGAAAAAAAAAAAAAAGATCTGTAAGAAAATAATACGCACGAATATAAGATCTATATGAAAATAAGATCTGTATGAAATAATGTCTGTTTTTTACTAAGATTTTTACGAAAGTAAATTCTGTGAAAATAAAATCCTTGTGAAAATAAGATTTATACGAAAATAATTAAGATCTGTACGAAAATAATGTCTGTATAGGAATAAGACTTATACGAAAATAATATTTGTATGATAATAATATCTTTATCAGAATGATATGAAAAACGACTCTATATGAAAATAATGTCTTTACAAAATAAGATCTTTAACGAAAATAAGATCTGTGTAAAAATATGTCTTAATTTTTGATAACAAAATCTGTTAAAAATCTGTAAAAAATAAGATATCTATATGAAAATTTGATATGATTGGTGACAATGATAAATCGCCAATAAACACCTTTAATGAAGGGCTTTAATAAGTGTGTGTCAATTACGATAAGTGCGAAGAACCAATAATCCAATCATCGTATTAGCGCATTGATTGCTGCCGACAGTCATGTGCACGTGTCATACGTTGTGTCATTTTTTTCCTTCTCTCAAATAGAAATATCTTGTTTATGCATTATCTAATTAAAGCACTTAAAGCAATAAAGTTATATACTTTTCTTTTACTTAATATAGATATTATTTTCATATTTGAATCTACACGTATCTTCAATTATCTTTTATATTGCTAAAATTCATTTCCATAGTGATATCTTATTTTCATATAGATATCTTATTGTTTACAGATTTTGATCTCTTTTTCGTATCATTCTGAAACAGATATTATGTTCATACTAATACATTTGTATTATTTTCGTTTAGATCTTATTTTCGTAAGGAAATTTTTTTCATGCAAATTTCATATTCACAGATCTTATAAAAAATATTTGTAAAAAGCTTAGTCTCATACAGATTTTATTTTTGCAGAGATCTTATTTTCGTATACGAGTAAATCTTATATTCGTGCAGATATATCAATTCATGCAGTAATTGTTTTTACAGATCTTATTTTCGTACATACATAGTATTTTCATACAGGTATTATTTTTTAACAAAGCTCATTTTCGTATATATATCTTATTTTTGCATAGATCATATTTTCAATTAGATCTTATTTCGTACAAATTTCAATTCATATATACGGATTTTAATTGTTTACAGATCTTATTTTCGTATAGATCATCAATTGGATCTTATTTTCGTACATGTAGTATTTTCATACATATATTACTTTTCATACAGGTATTTTTTACTAACAGGTCTTATTTTCGTATGTACATAATTTTCAAACTTACGGATCATATTTTCGTAGAGTACTGTACAGTATAGATTTTATTTTCGTACATATTCTATATATGCAGTAGATCTTAAACTTGTAGTCGTTGTTTTTGGTTATTTTCGCACTAGCTAATTCTTGCTTTTATTTTGATACTTTTTCACCACTACCTTTTCTTGTCTTATAAGAGAAGATTTAATTTACAATCTTATTTGCAAGTAATACAATATAATTTTATAAGTTATTATCTATCTTATTTTCGTAATCGCCATCTTGGGTTATTTTCGCATGCCTTCTTTCTATACTTTCTATATTTTGGAAATTACCATGTATGCCGCACAAACGTCTAATATTTCATTACAAAATACTTCATTCTTTATTATTTCATTCATGCAAATTATTTAATAACAATAAAAATACGTTTTCCAATACATTTTATCAAAAATAAATCTTATTTTCGTAGATCCGATCTTATTTTCGCTTTAAGCTAGCTTTCGTACGATAGTATTTTCGGCTCAAACTTCACTTTTTTAAATATTTTTTTGGTTCTGAAATTTTAATTTGCTGTAAATTCATTCAATGAATGCATAAATATATATTTTACATAATTATTTCAACAGATAAATGCACTATTTAAAAAATAAATCTTATTTTCGTAGCCGCGATCTTATTTTCGCGAAAATAGCTTATTTTCGGTATCCATCTATACCGGAATTTTTTTGTTTTTACTCTTCTTGTGCAAGTTGTGGTTATAGAGTGTGATGAACATATTGACTCTTCCTTTGTAAAACGTTCAGATACAAAGACAGTTGCTAAAAAATATCAAGATCTCAAGTTTGTTTTGCCCCTGTCTAGCATATCTGTAATGGAAGAACAGTTATTATGGATAAATACAGGTACTTCAATAAAATGTAATTTTGGGTACTGTCAGATCTACATGTTACGCTACAAGTTTCTTCTCATAATTACATATTTAACAACTAGTATGGCTAATGAGTACAAAATTTTGGAGGTGTTACACTACAAGGCAGAAGAGAATATCTGTCCTTGCAAGCAGTCTTGAAGACCTTCTGAAGAAAGGTAAGTATTTTTACACACTACAGCACAATTACAACACAGTGTTAGGTTGTGTGCTCAAAAGAGGAATCTCAGAATTATTTAGAATATAAAGCCTTGTCATAAGAAAATCTGTACAGGTGTGACTACTGTACAGCCACAGTTGTTGGCGTAAAACACTTTGTGAAAGTCTGGTGATCCAGATGCCAAGTAAAACCGTTAATATGAATAGAAAAAAATAGACATTTCACAGTATCATAGCTTTATTTACATTTGAATTGATTTTTTAAAAAAAGAAATGTGATTCTACCTTTCTGTGTTTAATTTTTACTACATTTGCAAATTCAATAAATTATCATCATGTAAGTATTACCTAATTGCAATAACTATTGTCCTCCACTTTGATTTTCACAAACATTTAACATGGTGAACCCTAAATGTTAATCATATTATTCACAAAATTTTAGCCTTGCAAAAATATCTGATTCACAGTATAAAGAAAATTCAAACAAGTAGACTCAAAACACAAACTTTTCACAAAATATAATAATCATGTTAACAGTAAAACAAACCCTACTTGATGATATTATTTAGAATTTTCTTAAAAGACAGGAACAGTTGTCAAAATTTAATTTGAGTTCTATATATGCTGTTGAGATCCATTTGTGATGGCAGAAATCATATTCATGAATGTAACTACGGATCTCATCTATATAATATTTGATAGCTACAATACATAATTGTTATGTTAGAATGACTGTCTAATGTTTTACAGAAAAGATCTGTAGTTTGATAAATAATTCAAACAGTTTGATACTTCGATCTAGTTGGTATTGATGACTTTTTCTCAGAAACACTAACTCAAGTTTTATTCAATATTTTAGCTGGTGACAAGCAACAGTTGCAAGGAGGAAGTTTGATTGTTGTGCTGGAAAAAGATGTGACAGAAATGGAAGAAAACGCCATCCTTGACATATTCAAAACTAAGTATTGATGCTTCTAGAAGACCAACAATTATGAGAACCAGATATTCCAAAAGACACTGTTGTAATGTTTGGGCAGACACCCAAGATGCCAACATGTCAAAGACTGAGACAGAGTCCACAACTGTTACCACAGCGACAGAAATTGTAACACCATCTTGTAAGTTGCATGAAAAAATGGTAGATTTGAATTTTCTGTCTTATCAGTTGACTATTAAAATCTGATATATAGTATAATATTTCTTGTCAAAAATGCCTGCAATATAACTGAAATACTATTGAAACAGGTGTTAAACTCCAACAATATTTCTGAGAAAGGAACAATTAAGCTGATAACATAACTTAAATTTGAACATTGGAAAATGCAATATTGTATATAAAGAATCTTAAATGAGTTGACACATTGAGTAATTTATATATGAGCAGGGGCATGACCTTTAATTTACATGTATGCTCAGCAAAAACCTGGATCATCCCATCCACCCCTTTATCCAATCAGATGTTAACTGTGCGTTCAATGGTTACCCAAAGGTCCTATACTTCATTGAGTGGATAGCCAGGACCCAACCATGCAGGCATCTAGTCAGGTCTGAGTCCTTGATGGATGTACATCCTTACTGCAGGTTTATCATGCCATGGCTTAAATAATTTCAAAGATTAATATGTTGTACTAAAATTACAAAATCATTTTATCAATATGCATATTTACATGTCACATTATAAGTCTCATTATATGAGGTTCTTTCTAGCAAGTCCTTTGGATATAATAAAGTTCAAAGATTAATTCCTAAAATGTGTAGACTATGAGTATGTATAAAAATAACCATGAATGGTTATTATTGTAATATTTACAGTATTGTTTGGATGTATAATCATAAATGCGACGTTTAAACTAACATGAGGTTGGTATTGACCCCAACAACCATGTTACATATTTGTTGCTGAACAGAACTTTTTCCTGAATGTGGAGGAAAATACACTAAAAAAATTAACTAAGAAAAAAAAAGAAATAATTTATAAATTACATCATATATGAGCATACACAAATGGCTGTTAATTGTGTCATAAATTGCATATTAAACATTAATGGTTATAACAATATTTGGAAAGTGAAATTTAAAGGCAGGTGATCTATGCTGTTTTGCTACATTTCCTTTTTTAATTATCATATGATGATCAAATAAGCTAATTATAATAATTGTTTTCTTTTTCTTTTTTTTTCAGATGTTGTTTGAAATTAAATTAATTCTTGCAGTAGGTCACATCCAACCATTTGTTGACAATCTAGAGATATTGTTTGAAGCAGTAGCTACACTTAAACCTGGAGGAAAAAAGGTATGAGTTAAGATTACTGTTAGGGCAGGCAACCTTGTGGAATAAGGAAAAAGATATCATTGCAATCTGACTATGCATACAGCACAGCCTTGATATAATGCGGCTTAAGATATAATAATGTTTAAAAGAGGGTAAAAATTGTATTCACAAAAGGTATAGAATAGAAAGAAAAATTCCATATTTTTTTAAATATATAATAAATACTTTTTTGTTTGGATATAATGGTTAACTAACATGGTCTATATAAAGGATTCAAACTACCGTGTTATAACAAGGTTGTGTTGAACAAAGGAGACCCAGTCAGAAGTTGATTATGCTTCTGCACCTGTACATTAATCAAATAGTTCTGACAATGATTATTTGTTGTTGTTGTTTTTTTTAGATATAAAATATCTGATTTTTAATACAAAATATGTAATTTTTAATTTTAATGTGCTTTGAAATACATTGTCTGACTGGACTTCAAAAATTTGCGACTTTATCCTGAGATATATTGCAGGAAATCCAACATGGCATAATCTTGTTTTGTGGCTGATGTTTGTTTTTACAGTGCTTTTGTCACTTTTAATGCAAATATGGTTAAATTGTTAACGCAGTGTGTTGACTGCTAATCATTTGTTCATTTTGTCATATTGAAAGCTGTGTTTAGGATCTGATTGTGTGCGTTTCTGTTTACTTAGAATTACTGGTTTCCTGTTGCAGTGCAAAGATGATTTGGACGTTATAAGAGCCATAGAAAGTAATACAGGATTCAAACATGGAAAGGGGTGCAAGACTAGATAAATTGTAGTTCTACATAAGGTATAGTAAATTTACCGGAATTTTTTTGGTCAGTTTTGTATAATACAACTGAATTTAATTTTAACTTGAATACTTGCAGCCGCTAATCATGACAAGACACATTTGTAACTGACAAGGGACAAAATTCTGAAATTTATTAAATGAATTAATGTCAAAACTATCAAAGGTATCAGCATAAGACTTTGATAAATTCATTTTATATTTGCTTTACATTACAAGACACACTGTTCAGACAAGGGGAGTTATTCTTAGAACTATATTTTGGAGTTATGCCCCTTTTCAACTTACAATTTTGTCAAAATAGCATATTAAATGGATTGAGTTGTAAACTTATTTAAGTATATGATAAGTATCTCTATAGATATGCCTCTTTGTCAAACATGGTATCTCATTTTTTGCCTGTCTTGTCACTATATAAAATAGACGAATGTTGGCCCTGCTCAGCATGGCATAGCAGAAGATCGAATTTCTGACCTACTGCTCCAGAAGCAGACATTAACTAACACTTTATTATGTGCTGGTTGGAAATGCTTAAGGTAGAAGATTTCCCTGATCCTGTTATGAAGGATGGTACTCATTCATTGTTTTATTCCATGTTCATTTTGCAGGATATTGAAGAAGCTAATCTGTCAAAGGTCCTGTCATCTGACATCACAGCCTAATACTCCTCCAAGTGAAGCCTTGTTTTTATTTTTAACAACATAGAATTGGACAAACAGTATATTGTTGGAGACCAGTGCAAGATTCTACTTGAGACAGATAGCCTCATGGAAGGGCTATTCTTATTAATAAACTGGTATTATATAATGGATCTAGAACATCCCACTGCTTTTCACAACTCCTTGGATTCATGCAACAAACAGTATTTAAACAAGTCTTTCTTAGTCACAAGTCGGCTGGGTATTAACACTTTGTGGAAAAATTGGAAAAACTAATGAACAAATAGAACCAACATTTTAAATTAAATTCAACCTTCTGTGTCATGGACATATTATTGACTTCTTAACAGCTTACCTTTTACCATGAAAAAACCTGCTTTTTTGCACTTGCAAAAACAAAGGTGCAGAATAGCTGTGTGGTAACCATCAGCTGATCAGTGCCTTTATTTTTGCTGCATAGATGGTGCAATCCCTCCCCTTCCTTAATCAGACATTTAAATCCTCTTGATGTCTGAACATGAAGCTGTATATTTTGGCTCTATTTGAAATAGCAAATGTCAAGTGTCAATATTTTTCAAAACAGCTAAGACTATGCTTCTTTTTAGGAACTTTTAAATCCAGTGATTTATCAAATTATTATTCACTAGCAGAAAAGATTGACTTAATAATGCAGTGTTTAAACACTAATTTTATTATTTATGACATCAGTATGTTATTGCAGACTGTGACATTTTTATGTCAATGAAGCATAAAAATGCCATATATTATAAATTGTTTATTACAGTTAAGAAGTATTAGTGCTATTTGTTGTTTGCAAATGTTAATATGCTCTTATTTTGTACATGCTATGTAGTAAGTTTAATATATTGCATTGATGTCTTAAATAAGTTTGTATTTTGTTGATGTATTACTGTCTAACTTTAACACATGCTCACTTCATTATCATATCAGATTTATTAAATTTTCATTTACTGATTTCAAGTGGTAAGCAGAATTATTTACAGAGATCACTAGTTTTCACTGATCAGGCACCTTTGTTGTGCATTTAAATTTTTGGTGTTTTCGGAGTCAAAGAAATGATTTATCAAAATATTGTATAAAGTTGCATTGTAACTTTTTAGAGTGCTAAAGTGTACTATTTTTTGTCTAAGCCTTAAGCGCACCACAACAAAAGATATTTATGAACCATCAGGATATATACTGTTACTGATAAAAAATAGAGCACTAGTGCACAGACTTTTGACTCCCCCCCCCCCTCCTCGTAACCATGAAGTGTATTATAATTTGTCTGACAGTACTCGGACACATTATTGGGGACAGTCAACATTGAATGACCGATTTTTGACACTGTCTGAAAATACTGTTTGTTTTTTTTCATACCCAAATATGATACATATTTGTGCCAAAACCGGGTTTTTTACATTTTACAGGGAGGTAGGCTTTACTGTGTAAAAAGGTTTTATTTTTGTAGAGAGAAGTTAAATCCATTTTATATATGTTTTCATTTTACCTGAAATTCTACTGATATCCATATATCAATTTGTTTTTGTTGTTTAATTGTTTATCTATTTATTTACTTAATTGTTTGCCTAAATATAACTGTAATCTATTTTATGTATTTATTTTATACATTCATTTTTAATCCCCTTCTGCATAGAGGGGAGGGGATTACAAGAATGGCCTCAGTCTGTCTTCCATGTCCACTCCATAACTTTTTTAAACTGTGAAATTTTTTTGAAATAACTTGGATCAAATGGTCAGTATGAGACGATGTGCAAAGCGCAATAATCGGGTCGCTACCCCTAAGGTCACAACTTAAGGTCATAGGTTAAAAAGTCTACCTTTTGTGTCCACTCCATAACTTCAACTGATGAAAAGTTTTTAACATAACTTGGCACAAATGATCACCTTTATATCATGATAAGCAAAGCACAACAACAAGGTCACTACCTCCAAGGTCAAGGTCACACTTAAAAGTCAAATGTTAATGGTCCACTTTTTGTGTCCCCTAAATAACTTAATCTGCTGAAAAGTTTTTTAAATAACTTGGCACAAATGATCACCATTATAAGAGGATGTGCAGAGCGCAACAATCAGGTCACTGCCCCAAAGGTCACAGGTAGAGGTCAAATATTCTTGTTTATAACTTTTTGACATGGAAGATTTTAAATATTTTAGCATAAATAATCACGACCATGGCACAACAGCCAGGTTTTTCTCTAAAAGACATGGTTTGTTAAAGATCAAGAAGTACAGATTCCTGTCCACTGCGAAGGGGATATAGATGTCCTTCAGACTGCCTTGTTTTTAATTGTTTGAAAATGAAAATGCTCTTTTTAATTTTGTGATTGGTAACACCAGAATTTCGGGTATATTGCATTGGATTGTAACATGGCTGACAAGGTGACAGTAAAATTGCCACCTGTAGGAAATGCTACCTCAGTTGACAGTGTTTTTCCAAAAGTTGTCAACTTTACTGTCACTCTGTCAGGCATGCAATATTAATTTTAGTATACCAAAAATAATATTATGATAATGGTAGGGGGTCTTGATCTATTTAACATTTATGTGCAGTAATGAAGAACAATTCGTATTTAACCTAAATTTCAAAATGTTATTAAAATGTGTATAATATGTTTATGTGTCATTGTTCACTTTTTTTGGTTGATCGTGTTTTAAAATAAAACATGGAAACTATTAAAACGTGTAAACGTGTTTTAAATCTGTTACAGTCCCAAAACACGTGTTAGGAGTTTTCAGACAAAACACCTAAACACGTTTTCTAGGAAAACACCCGTGTTTTAGTGTGAAACATCAGTGTTTTGTGAAAACACCGCAACATGTTTTAAAACTGTTACAGATAGGTGTTTTCACATGTGTTTGGAATCAAAACACTGAGATTTAGAGTGCAGTATCCATGCTGTTTGCTTGCAAACCCTATAACAAGTAGAGAAACTAATAGCGTGCGCAGACTGGTCTGGATCCATGCTGGTCGCAAACCCATTATGTTGCTTTTGTCGTGACGCGGCTCATTTTATAAGATAATTACGACATTATTCAAATATTTGTGATGAGCTTTTTCTGCAAACCCACAAAATATATCATATACGTTTTATATAACATAAATTAATGACTCGTATGAGACCAGGGCATTGACTTAACAATACAATTTTACATTTTTTTGGTTAAAAAAATAGAAAATGAATTGTGCATACGCAAGAATATCGAATGATTTCAGAGAGTTAGCTTTTTTACAAGCGCAAAATGTTGTTACTTTGATAATTTAGCTGAAACATATAACAGGTATATTCTAGAACCTGTTTAGATGTCGAGATACTATATTCATCTTCATGTATGATTTTTTAATTACAGAAATTTATTGAATTATATGAAATTATTACTGAAAATGTCGAACTTTAATAAAAGAAGTTGATCTTATTTTAAAAAATGACTGTACGTTTACGTCATTTTTTATATATGTATCAACTGAGGAAGCTTAATAAAGCGAAACATGTTTTGATACTTAATTTGTGTTGGTTTTTGATCCAATTATCCTAGTATTTTTTATTGACACTATATGAGCCGCGTCACGACAAAACCAACGTTATGCGTTTGCAACCAGCATGGATCCAGACCAGCCTGCGCATCCTCGCAGTCAGATCAGGATCCATGGTGTTCGCTATCAGTTTCTCTACTCTATAGGGTTTGTAAGCGAACAACATGGATCCTGATCAGACTGCACGGATGCGCAGACTGGTCTGGATCCATACTGGTCGCAAACGCATTACGTTGGTTTTGTCGTGACGCGGCTCATATATTCATATTGTGATCACATACAGAGTGTAAAATTGAGACTCTAAATTATCCTCTTCATCGGCTTGACATTAAGTTTGTTGAGCATTGTTTTCAGTTCCTTTCTACCCAGCTGTTTGTTCTTTACAAAGAAACTTGTAGAAGTTATCAATATTTTTATATCAAATTTGAGCGTAGTATATCTTTAAAGTACAACAAGAAGTCATTGTGTTAGAGTACATGACGTCAATTTTTTAAAGTACAGCATAATATCATTTTGTAAAAGTACAACATGATGTCATTGTGTTAAAGTACAACATGGTATCATTGTGTTAAAGTACAACATGATGTAAAAAAGATGTTTAGTATCTGCTGATTTGTTTAGTAAACAAATGTTCATGTATTTAAATATATATTACAAATATATATTTTATAGTCTGGCTAAAAACAATACATCGCAATACATTTATAACAACGAGATAATATAAATTGTTGAGTAAAATACTAAAGTTTGTTGGTTAAATATACAGCTATATGGGACTCGGTGCTACAGATTTTGCAGCAATGTAAGAGTACAGTACTAGTTATAAACAGTAAGGAACTTAAGAATGTATAGACTCTTGCTTAACACCACCGTGAGAAAACACATTAAATAAAGGAAAACACTTGAAACAATAGTGTTTTTGTTTTTGTTTTATATTAAAAATACATCAAGTACAACAGAGATTTGATATGGACATTTTGGACATGTGACAGGCTAAAAATGGTCTCAGGTCGATCTTAGGGTAACTAGTAACGGACGCTGAAAATTCTTTTACTCTAACTCAATTCATTGAATTCATTGAGAAGTTGCAGATTTGATGGAAAAAAACAATGCAAAATAGTGGTTTTTGGCAATTTTGAGACGTTCCCCCGTTGCTATGGTAACAAGAAACTTACGATTGAGCATGCTGTTACAGAGGTTATGGTCTAGCCAAGTTTCATCAGTATTGAAACATTTTTTCATAGTTTCATAGCAGTTTGAACTTGTAACAGGAGGTTTTTCAATGAAAAAAGCCATTTTTAACAATATGCTCATTGGGTAAAATGAAGTAAATGCACGATATAAATCTATATTCAACATTGTCATAATACGATGTTGTTTTTGTTGTTGTTGTTCGTGATTTGCATGTGCAAGTGACTGAATGTATTTAACACTAATGTTAAACGCTAGTTATAGTTGTTGAACCGTAAAACGCTTATGACTTTAATTAAGTGAACAGTATGAGTGTATTATGCAGACACCCAGTGTATATAAACGATTCAGAACAGCTATATGCAAAACAGAGGCGTATTTGGTACTGTGATTATCCATACAAACTCTGAAGTCATTTTAATATATTATAGTATATATAACAAATATGTTTCACCATTATTCGTGTTTAAATGTTGAATTGTGCTAAGAACGGTGTGGGGGGGGGGGGCGTGGACGGTAACTTACATTTTCCAGTACGGTCCATGAACAGATTCAATCAAACCGACACTGCACCATTTTCTATTTGATCGTGTTTTCCTTGCATTCTTTCGGGATTCTGTTGTCCTTTGTTTTAAAATGCATATGACTAATATCTATGAAAATTGAATCACACAACTTTATTCAAACTACGTAAACTTATTTCAATCTAAATGCAGGTAATGAAATACGATAATGTAGTTTAAATGTTGCCTAACAATTTATCATGTACACATAATCATTTTGATGTAAATTTGTGATAAAGTTTCATATAGTGTGTACTTTGGAGTATATTTCTATACAACTGTGAAACTGTATACTTCAATACAGACTGAATACAGCGCGTCAACATGAAAAAAGTTTTTATTTACAGAATATATACGTGTAAAATACTTCCTGTCGGTTATGTCATTCTTTTATGATAATAAAAGTTCCTTTATGTTCTTTTTCTAAATTTGCATTTTACATGTATAGAGTCTTTTGCTTTGTTATTTTTTTCAAGCTCTCTGTGGAATTACCGATATAGACCATTGTCATGGCAGAAAAATATCATTTCAGTAAAAACAAAGTTATTCTATTTAATATTATCTTATCCGTTAACAAAACACAGATATTTGTAAGCTGATGCGTTGAAAATGTAAAATATTTTTTTTTAAATCGTGTACAGAGGAATTTTATAGGTAAATCGATTGAACCTTGGTTAAAAGGGAAACACTAGAAATGTCAGAAGTAAACATTCACAGTCTCCTTCTGTAAATATATGTGTCTATTACGAATATTTATCATTAATGTCTATATAATGATGCACATGTATGATCAGTTCAAAGAAACAGTTTCCATAGGTAAAATATCACACTGACACTTGTTGTAAAATGAACTGAAATATATGGTGCATTTGATGTGATTTGTTCAGTATTACAACGTTGCAGAACGGGAGCTAATTCTTGCCAAAACGCTATCCGTGTGGCCGCTAGATGGTGCTTCACCGACTGTGACGTCATATTAACTACGATATTAAGATACTTCTGCTCGTTAGTGTTGTATTGCGGCCATTCAAACGATGTAGCAGTTATAGGGGAACTAGGATCCCTGAAAAAAAAATCAAAGGATTTATAAAGACAATATTTGATATTTTAAGTAATTTCCTTAAATATTTTACACATTGACATTGAATCGCCAATTGCAATATATTGGTATTGAAAAAACACATCCAGTTTACAATATTGAACTGCTTGCTAACAATTTACGACCTACCCGCTTTTAGCGAAGTTACTCCACAATGTCATCATTTGTGCTGACAGATTGATGTCATCTTGAGTGACCTTGAAAGGGTTAACACCACCTAAGTCGTCCACAAGTTTACGCTCAAGTGACTCGTGAAGACCAAACACGTAAGCGACTTCCATGGTATGTGTCGCTCCTTTCAGCCAATCTGGGTAGGGAACAAAACTTGGCTTCTGGTCAAAAACATAAAAGAATGATGTCGATTTACGCCCTTTCATCACGATATCGCTATGTTTTTGATTGAATTAATTGCTGGTAAAAAGAATTCAGAATCGGAGGCAAGATCCACCATATTTCTTCTTGTCGTCAAAGCATCATCTGGTCGTGTCCAGTCTGTGTATTGATGTATTACTGATTCAGTTAACATTGGAGACGTTTTGCCAAACACCGTTGTTATTATTTCTGGCACTTTAACATTTTCGAAATAACTTCTAGGAACCCCTGTTTTTATGTCTATTTGCTTTTCTTTCAACTCTTTCTCCCATGTAGGAACATTCATCGCTCCGTCACTACCAGCTACACCTATGATGACATCAATTTCTGCAAAAAACTCCTGTGCAGACTTTCCTTCAAGAGAATCATCAGAGAGAATGCTAGAAGGGTCTTTATGCAAAAAGTCTCTGTCTACTGATGGAAGAAATGACCATGAATCAGTTTGTAACTGTTTAACAGATTTACTGCGGAGACATTCAATTATCTGATCGTAGTCGGATAAATCGCAATTTGTATCTTTGATGTATTTGGCGAATACCTCGGTAGGTTTCTTTTGAAACGCCCAGAAACCCAATACACTTCCACTCTGTGCAACTATCCTTTGAAATAAACCTTTGTTCTGAGGATAAATGGCTTGGTACATGACCGCCAGACCACCTGCAGAATTTCCGAAAAGTGTAACACGTGTAGGGTCCCCGCCAAATTCATTAATATGATCATGAACCCATTGAATAGCCATTCTCATATCCCATAATCCATAATTTCCGGACGATTTAGTCCCATTGCTTAGAAATCCAAAAACATTTAGTCTATAGTTGATTGTAACGACGATGACATCATTAAATGCACTTAGAATATCTCCAGAATATATATCAGCACCTCCAATAGCAAGACTTCCGCCATGAATATACAACATAACCGCAAACTTATTGTTCTTTGAAGTCGTATTACTTGGT